AGTGATGTAGAAGTAGTCGTTGAGCTTCTTCTGTGGAGGCGGGGTTTAGCCACACTATTACGTCATAAAGTGGCACATTCCACAACTTGTCATTTTGGCAGATTGGCTGCAAGTAGGCTGATTTTAGACTAACGAGAAAGTTTTGAGTTCGAAAACTTACAGGATGTTTTTATAGTACTATGACCTCTTATATGTCAAAAGATCAAGAGAATTTTGATTTCTCAGTTCATGACCCCTTTAAAATAAACATATAAATGTCTCAATAAAAGATGTCCTTATAACAGCTCCTGTATAGACGACACACTTTAGTAACTGTGGTGCTTCTAATTAAAGGAGTAGTTCACTTCCAGAATGAAAATGATGTCATCATTTACTCACCCTCCATTTGTTCCTCCACTTGATATTTTGAAAAATGTTGGTATCCAAACAGTTGATGAGCACCATTGACTTCCTTAGTATGTTTTTCCTACTATGGATGTCAGTGGTGCTCATGAACTGTTTGGATACCAACATTTTTTAAAATATCTTCGTTTGTGTTCAACAGAAGAAAGAAACTCATACAGGTTTGGAACAAGTGGAGGGTAAATGATGACATAATTTTCATTCTGGAAGTGAACTACTCCTTTAAGTGAAAAAAGCAGTTGCAATTTACAAAATGTATATTCATCTCTGTACCAATAAAATGTGCACCACTTTACATTTTATAACAAAATTACATGTATGTATACATAATTGGGAGGATTTTGTCTGCGGAAGGAAATAAGTTATACCTGGCTGATACAGCTGCTGTGAGAGACCTGAAAGAGAAAAGACCTAGTACAGTTGGGAACTGAGAGCAGTCATGGTCCTGTTGAGTTACTATTGACAGTATATAAAAGATTGCGGCTGCTTTGTACTACCTGCTGAAACAAACTAAGAGGATTGTAAGGAGACAAAAGGAAAGGAAGTCAAGACAAAAGGAGTCTCCTCTCACATGCCAATTGTGTGGACAGATAAGCAAGCAAGAGATACTTGAGAAACTGATAGAATTTCTGGTCGAGCCACCAGTACTTGCGTTCCCCATTTTTTCACAGCCATTCAGACTCCATACCGACGCATCAAATCAAGGACTTTATGGTGTATTGTACCAAAAACAAGTAGAAAAGCTTAGAGTTATCGCTTATGGGTCCCAAACACTTGACAGCTATAGAAAAGAAGTACCACCTCCATTCAGGGAATCTGGAGTACCTGGCCCTAAATTGGGCTGTCACAGAAAAATGTAGGGATTACTCTGCGCCCACATTCACTGTAAACAATGATAATAATCCACTCATCTACATCTTGACAAGTGGAAAGCTAAATGCAACGGGACATACATGGGTGGCAGAACTCTCTGATTTTCATTTTAACATCAAATACCGGCCAGGCAAAGAAAATGTAGATGCAGACAGCCTATCCAGCATGCCCTTGAACATTGAGACAATAATAAGAGAATGCACAGAAGAATTTTCATCTTACTGAGCCGAAGCGACATCCAATCATCCAATTGGCACTGCATCCCAACCTCTCTTGGACTGCAATGGTTTCTCTTGACAACACCATGGCATCTGAGCGTATATGTGAGCCATTGCCTGTGGATGAGATCAGACATATTGAGCGGGGCGTCACACAGTGCAGTGACGACAGCTAGAGGGAGAGTGAAACTGCACGCTGAACACTACCAGGCGGTGCGATATGCCATTTTTGGCCGATAATTTTCGGCGGCCGAAATGTCAGTGCATCCCTATGCAAATGTGCTATGAGTTATATGGATATAAGAAAAACGAATAGTTGGTGGTATCTATATATGTGTGCATTTTCAGTGCTTATTTGAGTTTTTATTTTTCACTCACTAAGGACAATTAGGTGTTTTATTTTGGTGCGGCTGTATAGAAGTAGATATCTTTTCCTATGCAAAATTTGACTGATCGAATTGTTGTTTTATCTGTCACTCAAGTTTCACTGACTGTGATTACTCTAAAATTTATAGAAAATGTTTGAACTGTTTGAGCTGTTTATATAGACATTACACAGACACTGATGAAGCAGCAGCAGTGGCATCCCCATGTCCTGGTTATTAACATTATTATTTCCCTCTCATCAGGCGGTGAGGGTACTACATAATGCTGCTTTGTAATAATATGCATTATGATAAGTGCTACATACATAAAATAGCATTTAACTGAAAGCACCATTGAAGCGAAAATGTGCAAAGTATCAAGAGGGTGGAGATTATAAATAGACTTAATGTAGGGAAGCTTAACTCATGTTGAAACTCTCCCTTTTAGGGTGAGAGATCATTAGATAATTTGTCATTTTTTTTCTCCTGGTGCAGCTGGAACATGTGGTGAATGTAGCCGGATTACTCCCCTTCTCTTAGCTCTAGAGCAGATAAGAGCTATACGTGGCTTGTCTCGATTTACTTTTATTATCGCCTGTTGCTTTGCTTGTTTGTCATTGAAACCAATCTTCTCATCAATCCAATTTTCCTATCATCAGTGTCTGTCTCACTGCTTTTGTCAGAGGAGCAGTGCAAGTTTGCAAGTCACTGAATTCTTAGTATGGCCACTGGACGTCTGCTTTACTCAATTGCTTAAGGGGGAAGTCGTGACCTAATGGTTGAAGAGTCGAACTTGTAACCCAAAGGTTGCGGGTTCGAGTCTCAGGTCCGGTAGGAGTTGTCATTGGGGGTAGTGAATAACCAGCACTCTCTTCCACCTTCAACACCACGACTGAGGTGAAACCCTTGAGCAAGGCACCGGACACCTAACTGCTCCCTGGGCACCGCAGCACATGGCTGCCCATTGCTCCAGGTGTGTGTTCACGGTGTGTATGTGTTCACTACTGTGTGTGCACTTGGATGGGTTAAATGCAGAGCACAAATTCCGAATATTCAATTCAATTCAAATTTATTTGTATAGCGCTTTTTACAATACAAATTGTTGCAAAGCAACTTTACAGAAAATTAAGTTTCTACAATATTTAGTAGAAGCTTATCAGTGGTGACTGTCAGTTTATGTACATATGGTAGAAATATAAGGAAAACTCAATTAAAGACGTAATCAAACAAACGATGAACACTATTATCAGCAATTATTATATGATGAAATCAAACTTATAGCAAAGTTTGGTAGTTCTGTATGTTGTTTCAGGGTTGGCATCATCTGAGGTCCTCTGAGGGGTTGGCATCATCTCTTCTCAGGTGTTCGGTTTTTGTAAGGGCTGGATCCAGACTAAAGCTTGTGTAATTCGTAGTTATCCCGTGGCAGAAACGGAGAAGGTAATAGAGAAAAATTAGTGTAGCTGCTGTTCCAACTAAGCAAAAAATTGTGTTCAACCCAAGCAAAAGAATGAAATTTGTGCATTTGATCAGATGTAACTGAAGTACAAGGTTATGAGATACAATATGTGAATGCTTGGCCAAAGAGATGTGTCTTGAATCTAGATTTAAACAGAGAGAGTGTGTCTGAACCCTGAACGTTATCAGGAAGGCTATTCTAGAGTCTGGGAGCCAAATGCGAATATGGGTCACCATACTCGGCCACACGTCACTTCACTCACACTTCACTCACTTACTGTTTTTCTAGCCATGTATTACACCTTTATTGGCATTGATGATTCCATAAAGAAATCTTTCCATTTCACAAAAGGTTCTTTATAGTGGAAAAATGTTTCTTTAGATTATTAAAATATACTTCAAACCAAGAAAAAGTGCTTCTTTTAAAAAAAATGTCTGCCATCCATAAATGTCTTTCAGCGTGATTGACTCTGAGCTTGATATAAATGACTATTCACTTTCCTGTCCAAGAAAAAAAAAAAGGTAACTTGAGCAGGTCCTGACACGTGTTGTCTAACCCCAATAGAGTTCAGAGTTCCTATAAATGCTGATCCCAATGCATCTTTTTCATTATCAACATGGATATTAAAATGACCAACAATTAAAACGTTATCTGCAGCAGAAAATTTAACACTAACTCGATAGAAAATCAGCACATTCTTTAATAAAGTCTGTATGGTGCCCTGGTGGCCTGTATTACAGTAGCCAGTACAAACATGACAGAGGATTTATGATTAACACTTGTTTCTTTGGATAATGTTATATGAAGCACCAATACTTCATGTAGTAACACCATTACTATATGAGAAATACTCAAAATATTGTTATAAAATGTAGCAACACCTCCCCCTTTACCTTTTGGACGCAGCTCATGTTTATAACAGTAATCTTGAGTGGTAGACTCGTATTAATCATCTGGTTTTAGGCAGGTTTCTGTCAAACAGAGCACATCTAGGTTATGATCAGTGATCATATCATTTACAAAAAGTGATTTTGTAGAAAGGGACCTGATATTCAATAAGCCAAGCTTTATCATTTGTTAATCCGTATTACATCTGTTTTTTATTTGTTGAACATTAATTAAATAGTTACTCTTAAATTGGTTTGGAAGTTTTTTTTTGTTTTGTTTTTTTTTGTATTTTCAAGTTAGGGGAACAGACACAGTCTCTATAGTGTGGCTAGCAGACGGTCGGTTTAGCCAGTCTGTCTGCTTCCTGACCTGGGCCCCAGTTAGTCAAGCGCAAACTCTAAGACTATGTGCCATATTTCTAGACAGAAGAGCGGCACCACCCCAGGAGGGATGGAGACCATCTCTTTTCAATAGGTCAGGTCTGCCCCCAAAACACGTCCAATTAAAAATGACAACTGAGCGAATGACACTTAATGACAGTTGTCATAAACATGCATAAAACCTCCTTCATATCCATGACATATGTCATGTCATGATTATGAAGGTGTCATGTCAGTCTTATGCACACCCCTTCAAGTAAAGTGTCCCAATAGAGTTCAGAATGTCTATGAATGCTGATCCCAATGCATCTTTTTCATTATCAACATGGATATTAAAATCACCAACAATTAAGCCTTTTTCTATCAGAGTTAGTGCCGTCTGCAGATAATCAACAAATTCTTTAATACAGTCTGTATGGTGCCCTGGTGGCCTGTATTACAGTAGCCAGTACAAACATGACAGAGGATTTATGATTAACACTTGTTTCTTTGGATAATGTTATATGAAGCACCAATACTTCATGTAGTAACACCATTACTATATGAGAAATACTGAAAATATTGTTATAAAATGTAGCAACACCTCCCCCTTTACCTTTTGGACGCAGCTCATGTTTATAACAGTAATCTTGAGTGGTAGACTCGTATTAATCATCTGGTTTTAGGCAGGTTTCTGTCAAACAGAGCACATCTAGGTTATGATCAGTGATCATATCATTTACAAAAAGTGATTTTGTAGAAAGGGACCTGATATTCAATAAGCCAAGCTTTATCATTTGTTAATCCGTATTACATCTGTTTTTTATTTGTTGAACATTAATTAAATAGTTACTCTTAAATTGGTTTGGAAGTTTTTTTTTGTTTTGTTTTTTTTTGTATTTTCAAGTTAGGGGAACAGACACAGTCTCTATAGTGTGGCTAGCAGACGGTCGGTTTAGCCAGTCTGTCTGCTTCCTGACCTGGGCCCCAGTTAGTCAAGCGCAAACTCTAAGACTATGTGCCATATTTCTAGACAGAAGAGCGGCACCACCCCAGGAGGGATGGAGACCATCTCTTTTCAATAGGTCAGGTCTGCCCCCAAAACACGTCCAATTAAAAATGACAACTGAGCGAATGACACTTAATGACAGTTGTCATAAACATGCATAAAACCTCCTTCATATCCATGACATGTGTCATGTCATGATTATGAAGGTGTCATGTCAGTCTTATGCACACCCCTTCAAGTAAAGTGTTACCGAAACATTTTTATAGAAAACTATAAGTCTTCAGTCTTCATATCATGTGTGTACACCATTCAGATGACTCTTCACAAAATAAATAAATAAATAAATGACTACTTTAATTCTATAACATGTTTAGCACCAAACTACTAAATGCACCTTTAAACACATTCTAAAGATGAAGTTAAAGTTTGAAGCACATGCCAGCATTTGGGAGTCATCTATCAGGTCTCATGTAGCAATTTTTGTGATTTTCGGCATAAAGTCTGGTTCCTGTTGCAACTTATGGTCAACAACCAACAGCTCAGACAGGAAGAGACTGTCTGACCAACATCACAGGAACCAATCTGTTTGATTTGATTTCATGCATCACTTGGGGTTGGGGTTGCCTGAAACAGTTAAACAACAAAGACAGAATGTGTGTTCAATACGCATTTGAGCATGCAGTCATATACAACTAAAATTTATTGTGACCATTATTTTCCATCACTTTGCTTCTTTTAGGGGCTCCAGTAAATGATGTTTATAAATTGGGGGAAGTCGTGGCCTAATGGTTAGAGCGTCGGACTCGTAACCCAAAGGTTGCGGGTTCGAGTCTCGTACCGGCAGGGATTGTAGGTGGGGGGAGTGAATGTACAGCACTCTCTCCCACCTTCAGTACCACGACTGAAGTGCACTTGAGCAAGGCACCGAACCCCCAACTGCTCCCCGGGCGCCGCAGCAAAAAATGGCTGCCCACTGCTCCGGGTGTGTGTTCACGCTGTGTGTGTGCACTTTGGATGGGATAAATGCAGAGCACTAATTCTGAGTATGGGTCACCATACTTGGCCACATGTCACTTCACTTAAAAATAAAAGCAGTGTATGAATTAACGGACCAAGTCAGAATAATGTGAGTCAAAGTTTTTATATGTAGTAAGAAAAGGGAAACTGAATTAGAGGTTACAAAATATGCTTTAATGTATGACTTTAATAGTAGAGTCTAAATGTATAAGTAGTCTTGACTGCAGAGAAGTGTGATTGTGGCAATAATTAACTTGTCACAGCAGGTATATTTAGTCTCCCAAAGCCAAAGCACTGGCTGTGTCTGGAATGCCACACTACTCATGATATTACTACAGTGTTCAGTCTCCAGAATGAGCACAACATGCAAATTCTCTGTGAGCATAGACCATATTACCTACTACCTTGCAAAAAATGCAATGTGCTTCAAAGGATCAAAATTCAATGCTCTTGATTTGACCTTCCATTTTCAGAGTGATGAACCACAAGAAATTACTGCATTGATTTTTACCATCTGTTGATGTAAATAATGAAATAACAGCACTCACTGAATTAAACATGCATTGTTATGAGGTCTTGTAAAAAAAATGTTGTGAGGTCATGGGATAACAATATAGGGCTCTACTAAATACCAACCGGTTCCGGTCGTAGAGCCCTCGCAGCAGGGTGACTGGGTGACTGTGAGGCGGCATAGTTGTGAGACAAAACACCGCTTTTCCACTCCTAATAAAATGTTCTCCTCACTCAGTGTGCACCCAATGAGAAACTGATGAAAGTGCCATAGTTATTGGTGATTATATTGTACGGAACGTGAAAATAGAGACACCAGCCACCATATTCCAGTGTTTACTTGGAGCCAGAGCGCCTGACATCTTGGCAAATGTAAAAGTGCTGGCTAATGCTAAACGTAAATACAATAAGACTGTTATTCACATCATCACTTATAATGTTCAATTACGCTAGTAGGAGATCACAAAAAATAACATTACAGAGGTATGTGAACTTGCAAGTACGATGTCAGACACTCTAATATGCTCTGGGGGCGGGGTACAATGCTGTTTCATGCATTCAGAGTTGTTTACACTGTTAAAGAGTTGGATTCTCATGCTAAGCATGGACAAAATTTGAAAAAAAAAAAAACAATTTGGACGTATGACGGAGTATTTCTGTGCTAAAAATCTTACTTCCGGGTTCGTACAAGTTTCTGAGAGTTTTTTTTCAATCGTGGGTCTTCATGACGTAGACGAGGGTGGAACTCCTTATATGGGCATTTCTCCCGGAGGAGCGTGCCCGCGCACACATCGACCAGAGCAAGAGCGAGATCGTGCCCATCAACGCGCTTCATTCAGCAGTGCTGCACGGGACTCGCTTGGGAAGAATGTCTCTAAAGAAGTGTGTTTTTGCTTGTAAGGGAAAGATAACTTTGTTCAGCTTCCTAAAGAACCCAACGTTATGTAAGTTAAACAGTGGATGCAGTTTGTTTTTCCGGGAGAGTTTTGTTTCAATCGTGGGTCTTCATGACGTAGACGAGGGTGGAACTCCTTATATGGGCATTTCTCCCGGAGGAGCGTGCCCGCGCACACATCGACCAGAGCAAGAGCGAGATCGTGCCCATCAACGCGCTTCATTCAGCAGTGCTGCACGGGACTCGCTTGGGAAGAATGTCTCTAAAGAAGTGTGTTTTTGCTTGTAAGGGAAAGATAACTTTGTTCAGCTTCCTAAAGAACCTAACGTTATGTAAACAGTGGATGCAGTTTGTTTTTCCGGAGCAGCAACGCAGTTTCACAAGCGCGTTTGTTGACGAACGTTTTATAAACAAGGCCCAGTTCGACGCTGGATTAGGACATTGTTTGATACTGAAGGATGGAGA